CTCTTTCCTCCCCACTCCCTGTTCTGCATGCACTGATTTAAGCAAGCTAGGAGGATTTTGTAAGGTTTGTCCTCAGCAGGAGCCCAAAGCAACTTGATATCCTAATATTTTCCATAAAAAAGGGGAGGAAGAGGGGGGGAATAATCCTACATAGGTCCAACCGTCCTCAGAGGCTGTGGTCACATCCCTCCTGATCCTTCTTTCATTTCTGTGGGTGGCAGAGGATGGAGGAGATGTTCAGTGAGCATCACTGGTGTGTGCTGCTACTCTTTGTATTGTCCTTCCAAAAGAGTTGTGTTGGGAGAGTGCTTTTATTGTTGCTGTTGTTATAACTTATTCCCTTGTGCCAATGAGGGGATTTTTAGTCTGTTTCTGGATGCATGATTTAAGAGGCGCTCAAATATCATGTTGAAAGTGGAGTGTAGAGCTCTGACTTCAGTCCCTCTGAAATGTTAGAAACAGAGTAATCTATTGCATGTATTAGCATCTTGGGGCTGGTGGCATGTAAAAGAGAATAAGAAAAGCAAGGGAACCTGAAGTAGGAAAAGCATGTATCCGGTAATGACTTGGAAGGCCAGGGAGGGAAGTGAACATTGGTCCACAGAAGCACAAAAATTGTGTTAAACTGCGTCACAAATACAGGAAGTCATAGAATCACAGAATTGTAGGGGTTGGAAGGGACCTCCAGAGATCATAGCATCCAACCCCCCTGTCAAAGCAGGTTCCCTACACCAAGTCGCATAGAATCATTAAGGTTGGAAGAGGCATCTAAGTTCATGTGGTCCAACTGTTCCCCTACCGCCAATACTGCCCACTGAGCCTGACAGGAGCATGAAGACTTGTCTTGCCTGGGTGCTCAGACAGATTTGCTCTATGGCTGCTGCAGCCTTCTGTTAGCAGAGCTTGTCCTTGTGAAAACTAGGGGGAAAAGAAAGCTTCCTTGAAGCTTTATTAAACTCTGAATTATATTACAGATTGTTCGGCTGGAACCAGAGTCAAGGCCTGTGACAGGCTTGATGTTATGGTTTCTGGCAATCCTAGATGCAGTGTCCTGAAATGAAGTTGGACATAAAAGGAAGATGTAAACCAGCAGAGTTTATTTAGCTGGTGTGATTATATAATGTAAACATGTTTGAATTTATCTAGAAAAGCCATCCTGGTGCTGGCAGTCGTCTTAGAGATGGCTTTCCTTTCACTCACCAAGCCTTATAGGAAGAAAAGAGCTTTATTTTTTTTTTTTTATGCTGGCTTGATTTCAGTAAGCTTTTATTATTGTAATTATTTTCATTTTTTAAAAATTCAGGAATGTGCTGCAGAATGATATTTAGCAAGTTAAATGTTTCCATGTAGGGAACATAATGGTTACTGCAGCTATCTTATGCCAACTACTGAACAGATTATTTTCATAAATTCATAGTTGCTGTGTTTTCAGTCTCCCCACCAAAAATAACAACAACAACAACAAAAAAAATTCCAAAAAATAGATGTATGTGAATTTGTGGGTTTTTTTAATCGCCTTCCAGCTGAGAATACTAAGAATATTAGTATCTTAATCACCTGCGTCTGAGTCTTGTCCCTGTTTGATTCATGAGACGATGGATGTGCAGACAAATGAGGCATCATGCCCATGGGGATGGAGTTAGGGTGAGCAGCTGCTGAAGGATCACAGAGGCATGGCTGGACGTGGGAGCCTGGCAGGATGACTGCACATCTGCCCTCAGGAAGATGGCCAAGGAGATGTAGATATGCCTCAACAGAGGTTTCTTCTAACTGCTCTTGAGGACAGCACCCACGTGATGGAGCATCTGCTGGGTTTCTCATGGGTCTTCTGCTGCCCTTGTTGAGTGTGGTCGTGATTTCTCCCCCAAATTAGCTGATTTAAAGTTAATGTTGCGTGTGTGTGTGTGTTACACCACAGTGTGAGAATATACTTGGTCCTGCAGTTAGCACAGCCTGTAATGGAGAGAGCCAGAGAGTAAAAGCAAGACATTTGCTCCACACAGCACAGGATGTAATTTCATTCCTGCTTTGCAAATTTGTTACTTCCCTAATATTTACTGTCTGTTACCTCCTGTAGTGGGTGGGTAATTGCTTCTGTTGTTAGCAGAATCGTACCAGATTCTGCCATTTCCAAGTGGTTTATTCACAGGTGTTGTACAATGACCCTTCCATGGTTGTGCGCTGGTTATTTTTAGTCACTGAAATGGACATCAGCTTTTCAGAGCTTTTTGCTTATATTCTCTGTGGCTGTAGCTTCACAGTGGTTTGGTGGCTTGCACCCATATCTGGAGCTGTCATTTCAGTGACTCCACGAGGGTGTCTGGCTGTCAACACAGCAGGAAAATGAGGCTTTGGGGTTAGGGTTTTTTTTCTAGTTTTGCCATAAATTCTCCTTCTGACTTGGAGCCATTCATCATGTTGAGAAAAGGTTTTAGCTGTTCCTGTCAAAACAGTGGTATCAATTATGTTACCCATACATCATCTCAGCATTAAGCTTCTTTAGAGCTGTGATTCCTCGTATTTACTGCACATACCAGTGTTGTGCTATGATATTCCTCAGAATTAGGGCTCTTTAGCCCTGTGTTCCAGTAAGCCAATGTATGTTTGCTGATCTCAACATGTTTGTCATTTGTTGGAGGTCTGGTTCTTTCTGGCTTATTCACATGAAAAATAATGTCTGCAGGTGATCAGCGTGCGAGTGGCAAGGGGTGAGTTAGATCTCCTCTACCTGTCTTAGTGAGAATACTTGAGAGAGGGATGGAGCTAACTAACGGCGCCAAGCACTTTGCCAGACACTTGATAAACAGAATTGGTCCTTGGAATTGGTTTACAGATGTGTGAGCCCTCTGAACTCAGAACAATAGCACCCAATTGCCAAGCAGCTGGAGTTGACCCTTACTCCTGCTGCAGGTAATCACCAGTAGCTTGTTCTCCCCGTTAACCCTATTGAGTGGTTGATAACTGCTGTCTGCATATTGTATTTTTTTTACAGTTTGTATTGCTTTGCTAAAGCGGTGCTCCTGCACCATACAGCAGTGAGTGCTGTGAGCAATTCTTCAGCTCCCACAGCTGAGTGGGGCTTCTCTGGAAGGGCTCTGCCACTCCAGGAGCCAGCCCAGGGCCATATCTCTTACCCTGTTTGTGACAGCGGGGCACGCTCTGCTGCAGGTCAGCCAGCTTGTTGGCAGAAGGTGGCTGTGCATTTCACTCCTCTGCTGGCTACCCATGATTCTCGATGCACATTATCCTTTATCCCTGTAAATGTCAGAGGGACGTGCCGTAGGCTTCTCAAGCTGTTGACGTCAGTGTCACTGTACACAGCTCACTGGTGGTTTTGTGTGTGCTCCTGCAACAGCACCATCTGCTTGGTGACTTCTTGAGGAGAGACCCATCAGGGCTTGTTGGTCCTTGGCTCGTCTTGGCTGCTGTCAGTATGTTTCACGAACACGTGTGTAACCTTCAAACCAGCCAAAGCAAAACTGGCATTGTTAAAGGAGCAATTATCCAGCAGCCCAGGCCTTGTGCTCCAGTGACCTCCTGCTCTTTTTTGAACTGTTGGTGCTTTTGTATTAACTCATACATCTCTTTTAATTGTATTTTTTGTGGATTATTAGCCTGTGTTACTGGCACTGCGTGTCGTCTAATGAAGCAACAACCACTGAGGTGCCAAGTGTCTCCTATGGATTAATTGAGGTCTTAAAGAAGGTGACTACCCATTGTGGAAAGATGATCAGCGTGAATCACTTATTTATCTCCTAGATACGTTTTTTTTCCTCCTTTTACTAATGCCGTTCTTGGTAGGAGATAAAAAATAAAAATCGAGTGAATGAAAGTGCAAGAGGTTCATAGTTGTTTGGGGGTACCCATGTCCAAATCTGGAATGTTTACATAGCACTGCTACCTCTGCAGTAATAGCCCAGCATTGTCAAAGGTTCCTTTTCTGATCTTTGGGTTTTCATTTGGCCCTTGGATTAGTTATGTGTTTCTTTTATTTGCTACGTGGTTGTACAAGCTCAGTGTGATTTTGGCTGTGGTTCTGTGTCTGTATATTTCATTAGGAATAACTAGCAGTGGTTACAGACTGTCCTTTTAAAAAGCGTTTAATTTTTGTTCTGGAGTGGTGATTTGTTGCTTAAAGCTGCAAACTGAGGAACCTTGTTATCTCTGTTATTAGGGCTTCATTTTTAGATAATGGAAAATTGTTTTAATTCTTTCTAGTAATGTAATGCTTTGAGGTAGCGGGAGCTTTCTGTATGCTCTGTATTTTATCTTTTTACCATTTAATGGTCTGACTCCATTCAGAAACTGCTTCAGACTGCATATCATTTATGTTATTAATGGCAGTATTGATTTATAAGATCAACTTGAAAAAACATCTTGCTGTATTACAAGAAAGCTGTCAAAAGGATTAATGTGCTTTCTCTTTGTACGTCTTCTCTTCTACCCACTGGAAATGGTGATCAAGTCAAATGTCAGTGGTTTATTATCCTTGCTCTGAGGAACTGTGTGTAATTACATATCCTGAAAAGGGATGTTCTCTTTATGTTGGGGAATAGATATGCTGTTGCTGTGTTACCTGCAGATGTGGAGTGATTGCTGCGCACTGTTAACATAGAGATGACCTGTGGATAGGCCACAACAGCATGCTTTGTTTTTGTTTATTTCTTAACCTGCATGCAGAATAGATAAGGGTGTTATAGGTGAATAAAGGTTTAAGAGAGAACCGTGTTGCTTTCTGGAGCAGTTATTCTACTGTTAATGCAAGCTGCATGAAGCAATATAAATTGTTGATGTTTATGAGAAGTGTATATCAAAGTAGATATTTTCCCCATCCCTCTACCATCACAACTGAGATGCTTTAAATTTGATTTTCCTTCCTATAAACCTTTCTCTCCCTCCTTTCTTCCCCCCCAACCCCGACGTTATGTAGTTGATTTAATTCTCTGGATTGCTTTCCTCAAGCTCTAACTTGAGTTCATTTTGTTATGTGGTGACCACAGTTATGGATGACGCTCCCCCTGGCACTCAGGAGTACATTATGTTACGGCAAGATTCGATCCAATCTGCGGAATTAAAGAAAAAAGAGTCCCCTTTTCGTGCTAAGTGTCACGAAATCTTCTGCTGCCCACTGAAGCAAGTGCACCTCAAAGAGAACACAGAGCCGGAAGGTTTGTGGCACTATGGATCCATGTTCTGTTTGTTTCTATTCTTTTTCTTTTTCCATGTATGTCCCTAGAGTGTGCTGTGTGTTTCCCAGCCTGTGTCAGTGCAGTGCAACTGATACGGGAAGCGTGATGCACTCCATGTCCCCCTCTGCTTGCCTGTTAGTGTCTGATTCAGCTATCACAGGAGGCTATATAGCCATGAATGGTATCATTCTAGACGAGAAGTAAAATGACGCTGCTTTTTCTTAAATAAAGTTTGTTTGTTTCAGCTCTCATCATTACACACTGCCCTTTTTTTGGCTGCCAAAAGTTGCTTGCTACTTCAACAGCATCGATTGCTACTTAAACAGCATCAATTCTAAGCTGGTTCTTTGTAGTAACATTTCTGAAGCTGCACTCTGCTGAAAGTAATGGCACTTAGGTTCGGTTTCAGCTTGTCCCCCAACACCTTTCACTCCATAAGGCTTCTGCATAGCGCTAGAGAATGCTCATGGCAGCTGTTCTTCGGCAAAGCAGGATGAAGTCTGTGTGTAATGCACGCCGGGTTGCATTTTGGAAAATGAAATGCATGCAGAGCAGAAAAAAAATGAGTAGAATGTTTTCCTTTTCAGAGAAAGCAAAGGTATGGTCTTTTCTCATGCTGTGTTCACTAATATGGACTTATTTATGAGGTATTCACATCTCTAACTTGTTGGTCTAGTGTACATAAGATAAAGCCAAATTTAATTCTATTTTTCTAAGTATTTTATTGTTCCATGTGTGTTTCTCATTGTTGCTTCATATTCCAAGGCTTTAACTTTTTCATAAGATCCAGTGTCTGCCCAGACAAGCGATGCTGCTGCCGGTAGATGTATGTTAAAATGAAACTTGTTTTTATTTATAAAAATACATATAAATTTTGCTAAAATGGCATTTCTTTCTCACCTCACCACGAATATTAAATCTGACAGAAACATTGATGTAAGATGTGAGGGAGGTTTTTTGTTTTGGCGATACCGCAATTGAACATTAAAATTGGGTTTTGAAAGCACGGGGTCTAATTCTCCTCTCAGTTCCGGAGCTGATTCAATAGGAGTTTTGATTTCATAATTCTGAATTCAATAAACATCAAGTAAAGCTGAATCCCATAACACTCCTCTGGATTAACAAACATAATGAATTTCCTATCGTCTGTCAGGATGTGTGTTGTTTGTGGGTAAATGATGAGCCCAGAACTGTTCATGTCAAGATCCTGTAGGAAGATGATGACAGCTGAGCTGCTAAAGGTACTCAGTATGCTTGGCAAATGGTATGTTGTGAATTGAAGGTTCTACGTGAGCTCTAAAGAAAAATGTGCTCTGTATCAAGCAGATTTGGTCTCCAAAGTTCGCCTCATTGACCCACGTACTGTATTTCACAGTTTCTTTGAGCTCATGTAGAACTCCAGCAGAAGCTGATGGTCATTTCAGTGGAACTTACGCTGAGAGCAGGATTTCTTCTGGTGGAGAAATCTGGACTGGTTTGGCTACGACTGTGTGTGGTGGATAAATCCAGTTATGTGCTAATGACATGTTGAACAGGAAGATTTGTGCTGGGCCTTTTGTCTCCAGACTGTGTGTCTCCTGGGAACGTGGTTTGGTTCAGCACTGAGGATTTCAGGAGCTGCTGGGAGAAGCATGCAAAGTACAGGCTCAAGGTGAAGACCTGGAGACCATCAGATCTGCTGTGTTGTTGCCTGAAAGCCAACGGTTGCTTAGGTTCTCCATAAATCTCCATACTGTCTCCTTCCAGTAGCTGTTATTCCCTCCGCAATGGCGTATGGTATTGTTAATCATACTTACTGAAAATGTTTAGTTTTAAGGGGAAAACTTTTCATCTTTTACTGTGGTGTATGAGGATGAATGTTTCTTTTGCTTTCCCCTTTCCCCTTCTCCTTTCCTCCAGGAATTTTGCATTACTGACAGGGGAAGCCGTGGTCCTATTGACTTACCCCACAATCAGCTGACTTGTGGGATATTGTTTCAGTGGAATTTTTATTGTTGCATGATTTATCCAAGTGTTTCTGAGAAATATGCTTCTAGCATGAGAAGGAAAATATGTTTGTGTCCTTTTAGCCTCTGCTGCAACTCAGATTGCCTAGGGCTGCATTGGTCTTTTCCTTTGAAATCTGTACATGAGCTGACAGTGGTGTTGGACCTTCTGAAAAGGCTGTGTGTCATCCTCGGTGGTTTGTTGGCATGAAGCTGAAAAACTGCATGAATTTATCCAAACCGAATGAAATTATCCAAACTGTGCTATCAGTGTAAATAAGAAACAGTTGATTGGAGCCAATGGAGCAGCTGACAGAAACCCTATCTGGATACTTTATAGTGGGAGCCCAGCAGTCAATATCTCAGCTGTGCTGTGAGGATGAATGAGAAAAAAATGTTTAAGCCTTCTATGATAACACAGTTTTCCCATCTTTGAAGATACTGGAAAGTACAGGAATTAAGTTGCAATCAGGAAACTTCCATTATGCCACTGTCCTATGAGAGGTTGTACGAAACACTGCAGACTTGAAAGACTCTGAGAATACAAAAATGTACTTTTTTTAACCTCCTGAACAGTGCCATAGGAACACATAGCAATTCCTGAGTGTTTCTAGCACTGCAACTCATCTGAATATTTAATGGTGAATTTCTTCTCTGCCTTTTAACCAAGTCTTCAGGTAGGGTAGATGCTCAGGCCACCCCTTTTATTGCTTCAGGATTTGGATCCCCTAAGCACGTGTGATTCTGTCAGGTAAAAGATTTTCTGGGCTTTCTGCAGGAGTGTTTGAGGAATGCTCTACTATTTGCTGAAATACTTGAACAGCACCTCACTCTGGTATTTGAAATAGGTGGTCAGTCCATCAGACTCATTTCTCGTATCTCAAGCCCATTCCTAAAAGCAAGAGGAGGAATGAGAAAATGGATCTTTTTTTTCCCAAAGTAGCCTGTCTTGGTTTCTTGTTCTTCTCCTGACACCCAACGTGCCTGCTTGCAGTCTCAGCATTTTTCACAGCACCAATGTGCATCAGATACCCCTTAGCAGAGAAGACTGATGTGTTTGATATCAACCTGGAGGATGTATAAGAAATTATTGGTCCAGTGACTATGGCAAACACAGCCTGTCTTAAGTAGTAGATGTGGAAGGAAGAAGAGGAAGAATGGGAAATCAAAACAGTATTATCTTCCCAAAATGTGGGAATTCCAATTGGTCCCATAACCAGCAGGGTGACTTGTCAGTCTGGGCCACAGTTCAGATAATAAGCTGTGTTTCCTAATGCTGTAAGATACTCTGGACTAAGTTAAAAGATGAACTTCTGCTTCATTCTGCATTTCAGCTCTGTTTTCTCAAAGTCATTCTACCATTGACAATGCTGTGGATCTCTGAATTGCAATAAAACAAGAGGAGCAGACATCCTTACCTGAACGCAAGGTCCTGTGGGCATTGAGTACTGTGTACAATTACATCCAAGAAGCAGCAACATAGAGGGTTTTTGTAGCTTCCCTCAAGCCAGCAACACAGTGCTAGCAGGAGAAGGGCCATCTGAAGTACATTTTGCAACTATTTGTTCTCTTAAATAGTTTAAACATAAGCTGCTGCTATCTGTATAAAACATGGTTACATAAAAGAAGTCTGCTACTGGAAAACTAATTTGAGTTGTGTTATTACATCCAGAGGAGAAGAAATAATGAGAGAAATGTTTTTTAAAAACACCCATTGGTTAGTCACAGGCACATAATCAGGAATCTTGGCCTCTTGCCCACAGTTCTGTTTTTGTGGTTTATTTTTAAATTTTTTTTTAACCTTTTTTCCTACGTTTTTTGGTAACATTTAGTGTCCCTCCAGGCATATGTAACCTTTTTACACAAAATAGCAGGCAAGCATCACAAAATCTCTATTAGGTATAGGGAGAAGGAAATCTGGGATAGCAGCTGGTAATGAGCAAAGGCAGCTTTCCTTAACCACCAGGAAATCTGATTAGATAGAAAATGTTAAGGATGCTAATGGGAAGCAAGCAGCTTCGCCGTTGCCCTTGACGATGGCTTGTTATCTGGGTCCTTAGCAATGGGATGAGTGGAGGGCGAGGAGGTAGGACACCAAAGCACGTTAATGTGGAAGCTTGCCTTTCCTGCCTACCCTGTGTGCACACAGTTCTGTCACCAACAGAAATTCAGGAGCCTTCATGTTGTCATACTGAATGTCCCTTCAGTGTTTCGAGTGTTACATCACTGCTGATAGTGCTGGTACTTGGCACTCTAATTATACGCTTTTTCTTCCAGACCAAATCAGGCCAATTAACTTGGCTCACTCATTTGATTGTATTAATACATGTGCATTTATGTGCTTTGGAGAACAAGAAGGGGAGGAGAACCTGTATTTTGAATCGTTGAGAACTGTGAGAGGTTTTTAACTTCATAAATTGTTCAGAGCTGGAAAAAACTTAGTATTCCAGTGGAGAATAATAGATCTGAGCAATGTGAACCACAGGTACAGCCCACCTCATGTCTGAGGAGTACAGAGCCAGCACACGTGGCCATGAGACACCAAGGAAGGGTTCGGTATCTGTTGTGCAGGTCTGCCCAGCTGCGGATTTAAGCAGGACCAACAGCTGCCTGGAAAGGACACACTGGTTCACTGGATAAGGAAGGGCTCCTTCCCCTCAGTCCTCCTGTGGGGAATGCGAGGCTTTCCCTCTGCCTTGAGTCCTGGCATTGGCAAGAAGAAGCAGTGAGAGGTGCCTGAAACTTGTCCAATACTACGGGAAAGTGAGCTCTAAATTCTGTCTCTCTGGATACATGTGGAGCTGCTGCCACTATGGGACCTTATCTGTTATGAAGGATGATCTAAAAGGAGGGGTACAGACCACAAACGCCAAAGGTCTGAAGCTGCTGCAGTTATAATAGCTTTTTCTCCCAAAAGAGAAACCAACTTTGTCTCAAGTGATTAAATGATAACCTTTATTTCAGGGCAATGGGAGGCCGTGGTGACAACAGCAC